GGGAAGATAGCAGAAGGCCTTTTTTTCCAATGTGAATTCCTGGGTCTCTTTCCACTGCTGACTCCATGCACAGCCAGTGGATCATGGAAAGGCCATAAATGCAGCGGATCTCTTTGTTGCCGTGTACAAACAAAGGACGCAAAATCTGTTCAATGAGTAACCACATTCACTTACTTATTCCATGCTGGTTCTCAGTGGATGTATACAAACTACAGAATGGATTTTAAAAGCTGTGGCTACAACACAATAACCCCTGTTTACTTTGAACATAAGGCCAAAGAAGATGTTTCAATAATTAAAATCAGTGATGTAGCAGGCAGCATTTCCTAACTTATTAAACATTCATACAGTAGCAGACATTATAATAAAACATAAAACGGTACTGTCTGTGGTTTGTTTAGACTGAAAATAGTGAAACCAGACACATAATTAATGCCTACAAAGGAGCAGTAACTGCTTGTTGTTAATGCGACACAATAGATTTACTGTATTCAGATGTGTCTTTACGGTTAAAAGTAAGAAGAAGAACAAAAGCTGCTTCACTTCTGTTTCCTCTCAATTACATGCACGCCTAGCCTCGGGTGCGTCTGCTGCACGGCACAGATCTCACCTGGTCTACAAAAGTATCAGTTCTGCCAGATAACCTGCCTCTGTACAGAGGCACTATTGTCCCAGAATGAAACCAAAATCCTACGCCTCACTAGAAGTTCCCTTAAATCTCTACTACTCAGACATGGTGGAGTTTATCAAAGCTAGGAGTGAGGGAGACAAGAAATGATCCTCCAGCTCCTATGGTCGACACCAAAAAGCAATATTTCCAACAATGGGAGCAGCAGAGGGAAGTCTGGGAAGGTCATCAGACGAATATAACAAAGACGCAGCAGCAAGTAGTGTAAGGCCCACTCAGGACCCTAAAACGCAGACTAGAGATTCTAGGATTACACAGGATCATAACATATATTTCACGACTACAGACATCCATCTAATCCCAGAGAGTGGGCTGTAATGAAAAGAAAAGGTATGTTTTTTGGAAAATGATGGAAAAGAAATGATGACTGATGAGAAAAGCTGGCTTGTTAGATCCCTACACAACACAGAGGGAAAAGCACTTACTCAGGATGCTGAAATGCACTGCAGGAGTGATATTTTATCATGATTCAGCTCCACTTTTGCAGGTGTGCAAGCACATTTAAATGCAGAACTGATGGAGCTGGACTTCACGTTTCCTACATGTATTATCTTTCAATCTCATTTTGTGGAGAACTTGAATAACCCATTAACTCAGAAAAAGGCATATTGATATTTAATCAGGTTTATCCTGTACCCAAAGCGATCCGGGGAGCCTCGCATTAAGGATTAAGGACTTAGCCGTCAACATGCCCCTGAGATTAGTTTGATCTTTCACAGGTTAACTCATAGCCCAGTTAGAGCGGCTCTCGGCAGGTTTACCTCATATCTGTGGCTCTACTTTGGCAGCTTAGAAAAGAAACAATCAAAACTGAAAGGTAGAACAAAAATTGGAGGTAAAAAATGTAATCATCCCCTCTTCAGTACAACTACAGTCACAAACAGGGGGAGTTTGATTGATTCCGAGAGCGTTTAACATTTCATCTGGGAAATAAATCACCACAGTTATTACTTGTGGTTGGCTGCAGGGTGAAACCGTGGGCATTATTTACAACCTCCCCACAGATGATGACAGTTAATAAACTGAGCGCGGGACGAGCAGCTTTTCTTTTATTCAGCAGGTCCTGTCTGACTCCCACAGAAGCCACAAGGCCATGACAGGTTCGCTGAGCAGAGGGCCGTCAGGTTGTTTCCTGTGGGAACAACTGTCAGGTGCATTAGCAAGTCTCTAATTCAATTTTCCCCTAACCCACAACTGAAAAAAGGGGTGGGCTAAATGACCTTGCGTTCTCAATCTGTCAATTTTAATCGTTTAAATCTATCATTCAATACCTTTGGGCATCTTTGATATATGTGATATCATTGGATACAGCTGCTTTTTAATACTTAGTCAACTGTCATAAATTACTGCAAAAACCTCCCCTATAGTAACTCTTGTGACACTTGTCTAGTTTTCCATCCTCACACTGTTTACATGCAGTCTACAATGATAACACAACAACAGATTTCACTCAAAATACACAAGAGAACATCTGCAGAACAAAATGCACCAAGGGTTTGTTTTTTACTCATGATCCATTTTGAGTTTTTCTAGACTTGACAATCTTTTGCCATTTCTCGGTGTAAACAGCTGACCAGATGTTCTCGGCTTCCTAGCAACACAAACACTTCTTAAGTCAAACAGACTCTTCTAATAAAGATCCAGGACAACAGTCGTCCATCCCTGAAAACCATGTATCTCCCAGTTTGGTGATTTTAGGGTAAGTCGATGGATTACATACTCCTTTGTGGGCTGAGAAAATTATCCTTCTTCTTAAGGCTTAGTAAAAAAAAAATTCATACCACTTTAGATTATCTCAGTCACTTAGCTTTGAGCAATTCTGTTTTTCTTTCTTAAGATTTGACATTTTGGAGACTGAAAGGCAATGGTATATTATGGCACCTCATGTACTGTACCATTTTAATTACTTTACATTTCAACGTTGTTTATATTTTTTATCTAGGTGGATTTACAGCTGACACACAGACAGGTTTATTCAGCATGAGTAATCCTTTATTATACTCCCAGACAGGAAAATAATATATCTGATTTTCAAAGTAAAAGTTTCCTTATCTCCATTAGGGCAACATTTGTTCACATCGAGTAGTTATTCATTAACAAATATTACTGTGTTTTAACAGATATGCATACAAATCTCAAAAATATATGGTCAGCCCCCCAGTTATATGGACAGAGACTAAATTAAATCTTGAATTTCCAGGTTCTGTAAGAAAAGTAAGAAAAGCTCTTTCAAAATATAATTGACATTTGGTAAAAAAGCTAATATCTAAATGTCTATCCTTTGGAAAGAGACTTTCTCACAAAGAAACTCTGATATACAGGGTTTAATTTTGAGTTAACGGCTAAGCCAACTGCAAACTGGATGGCACAACAACATGAACCCATTGTGCAAGCCTCCAACTGCTCTTTCTTTAATTAATAAAAACATTAAGACATGTGTCACTTGTGTTTATCAAGATGTGAAAAACTCCACATATCAAAGCATTTGGCATAAAGAAGGTAATTGGAGTTTGACATCTTGTTCCCATTAAGTTTTGACTATTATAGACACTGCGTGCTAGGAATACACTGTGTGCCACATAGAACATCTGTGTTAGCCCGTGGCCAAAAACAAAAACCAACAACAATAACAACAGCTAAAACTGTCAGACCATATGGCGGACCTCGCATTTCCCTGGAAATGAAAATGAAAAGTAATTAAACCAAATTGTACTGCATACCATAACTATCACCACAGCTGCTCATTTCTGATCTTTTCAGGTCTAACAAAGATTTTAAATCCTTATTTACTGTGAGAGACTTGCTGCAGCGTGAAATGTGCTCTGTTTAGTTTGTTTAGAGGCCCAGAAATATTTAGGGACTCTGTCTTTTTGGCTCACAAACACTTTTGATTTGTTATGGTTGTCTGAAAACCAGCGCTGGCTGTGACTTGTTGGAGCAGACAGGAAAGATGCAACTTGCATGTGCGCTGCTGGCAACAAACAATCTGAGCTTATCTGCGTATAAGGAGGAACAACGGTGCAATGAGTGTGGACAATGATGATTCATGAGAATAGGAAGTTAGAGTCATTAGGGGGTAAAGTGATACTTCTGCTCACTTTCTCCACAGACATCTGGCCTTCATGGGGTCTGAGTGGCTCAAACTACATCTGGAATACATATATTTACTTAAATTAGGTCGTGAATCTCACTTTAACATTTCATTTTACCACTGAGAGATGCAGGATTATTTTTCTAATTTTCCAGACAAATCTCGCCACGGTCTAAAGTGAGGTGTTCATTTCACAACTGAAACGTAAGCTACTAAAAGACAATGTAGGAAGAAAGCATTGGAGTAGCAGTCAAAACAATGGCATGTCATTACAAATAATAAGATTTATATGACCTTTACTTCAAGGCCAAAATAGAGCACTAATATAAGCGGAGCAAGACAAATCAAGAACCTGTTCCTGCTACTTCAGCACTTGTTTTCATACTTTCAGCAGCCTCACTCCACACTGCCCAGACTCTCTCTGCTTTATATCATCTTTGCAACTAGGACACAGTGGCTGTCTTCACATTTTGATCTAATTTCCTTCTAGGACCAGATGCAAACTGGGCACATGCCCCAGTTTGATTTGTTATTTAAGAGCATGCTCAAAATGTAGGACTTAAAAACACATTTGAGAACCAATGAGGCTACAGAGGGGAAAGCATATGAGAACATATATGGAGGTTGTGTATGTAATACAAAGTTAGAGGAGGAATCAGTTATTAGTGTTTTTCAAGGTGACAGAATTGTTCTATTTGTATTCTATTTGTGCCCGTAAGTAGGCCAAAGTCATCATAAAGTGCTCACACTCCACTGCTCACCGTGATATCAAAGATATTACAAAAAAAGAGGAAACAAAGGGATTAGAACAGAAAGTACACCAGTATATTTTACATTGCACATCCCCTCCCTGGAGCATCATCATCATGGTTGTGGTGAACATTTGCGCACTTGGATATCTTCATTTCACACGGGATTTGCGCACTTTTGCACTAATTCGCCAACAAAAACACAACTTTCCTGGAAACCACTATGACTGATTCCTTATCAATAACAACCATCCCACGTTGACACTGAACACCTTTTAGAGTCTCCATGTAACTTTTACCAGGTCACAGGCTGAACAGCGAGACGGTCAGAAACTTTTCCTACCACGCTGGATCAAGTTTGTCTGCGGCTTTTGGAGCAGACTTCGCTGAGATTTATGGAAAGCTAAGACAAAAACGAAAGCTTAGCGTTACAACCCAGCCACGTAAATGTTGTAACAGCTCCCCGACATACCTTTCCTTTCCGCCAGAGCACAGCAGCCTAAGCAGACAGAGGTGAGAATGATCCACTTCACCAAACGGCTTGCCATCGTGTTTCTGAAGCTCCCGGTCACAAGGTGTCATTCCATGCCAACAACAGGCGATATTCCGCTTTATCAAAACTGAAAAATCTTTAGGTGTATTTTATCCTTAAGTTAAAGACTTTTCCTTCCCTGGGAAACTTTGACAGCTCCTCCTCCTCGCAGATTATCTCCAGCAGTCCGAGCTCGTGCGGCGAGGACAAACTACTGGCAGCTCTGACGTCAGCAAGAGGGAGGATAGATGCGCCTCAGGTAGAGGCACAGTGGATGATTTCAGAAACTAGAAATGTGAACACTGGTATGGTGTAATCACTACGTTCGTAAATAGTCTGCTGTATATAAAAGTACACATAATTAAAAGGTAAAGTAAGGACCAAACATGCCAAAAAATTACAGGTATCATTATGCAATATGCTGTCATTTCCAAATTATGTGGAGTGTATAGTGAATACAATGGTCTGTTTCCTTGAAAATATTCAACTTACATACAGTACAAAAAAAAAAACACTTTATCCAACTTTTTAACCCAAAGAAAAACCATACACATATATATTTTTTTGTTCTGACCTCTCACTGTTTTTGTTCTTTTTTCAATTCTGATTATCAGATTTTTCAGCCAATATATTATTTTATATAAAAACACAAACATTAAAATTATGACCAAGACAAGTACTGAGCGATTAAAATTAAATAAATACATGATAATTATAAAAAAATCTCTCTCGCGGACAAACCATGTATGGAGAGATGTATGTTAGGAACTTCCTATTACTTATCCGTCTATATATACTTACATATTGAACAGTACTATGACTTTGACACTACTTATTGTACCCAGAGTCAGTGAATACTAGCTTTAAGAACAAGAAAATGCCCTATAGGCTATCATGCAATTTGTTTAGGGAATCATATTTTAATTCGACTTTGCCTCTTTAGCATATGTATGAAATGTTGCACTAACTACAAATTCAGTAGGCCTCCTTCGCAGCAGACAATTTGATTTGTTATAACAGGAAAAGCACGAGTTTAACTAATAACATTAATGGTGGCTCAGTAAGTGTCCCAGAAAGTCATTAAGCCTGTGAGTGGGAATGCACAATATCAGGATACTGGAAGAAGCAAATAGAGTGGAGTCATTTTTAATATTGTAATTCCACTTTTCCTGCTATGTGATGTTGAAATATCACATAGCATACCTATTTGATCTTTCTCAAACAATGAAAGATGGTCGAGTCTATGTACCGTAAGGCCTGAAGAAACAACACAAAATCTAAAATGACCACTAAGGATGTGAGATGAAGCGCTAGGAATGACACAGATGCTGAGTGTTATCAAAGAGTGTATCCACAGACCTGGAGATGTAAGTACATTTTGCAGACACATATTTACTATTTGTTGGATTTGTACATACACAAATGAATCTAATTTAAGTATTACTCGATCTATTTGAGGTGAAAACCTTATTAAAGAAAGTTATTTTAAAAAAGGATGACTCATCTTGGACGTCAAAGCTGACTTCTGGATGTTTCATTAAATCTGACCTATGAAGGCAAAGCTCAAGACGCTAAAAATAACCATTTAACGTTTCTTTATTTGTTAATGTGCATATATGAAAGACAGCCCTCAGTATTAATGTCATGGAGTTGAATGGACCAAATGTCTAGACCGTTGACAGAGTGTCCGTCTGATGAGAGTCGAGTCTAATTGGATGTGAAGCTGCTTAAATGTGTTTGTTGTTGTACACAGATCAGACTCTATGGGGACAGGACTGATATAAATCATTTCTCACACTGGTGTTTATTTCATTACTGCGGCCTAATGGCTCAGCAAATCGTCTTTGGTTGTACTGTTGGAGGAAGGGGTTATTGTGTTGGGTGAAATTATGACAATTTTCCTCGAGGAGAAATTACTTAATGTGAGGCTAACATTTCACAGGAGACGGCACATAAAGCTATTTTCAGTGAGATGTGGATGTGATGCAACTGCCAGTTTAAATGGTCCAAGCACTGTCATTGGAAAACAGAAAAATAAATCCCTGGCCTTTGTCATTTTGGTAAGTCAGGGGGGAAATGATAACTGAAGGAGCTCCATTGAATTACAAAGTTATTCCCTTCACAAGGTTATGCTTTTTCCAAGTCTCATAAAGAGGATCAACAGAGGTCAAATATTGCCATTTTACTTTTATTGAGAATCAAATGTGTGCTTTACTTTAGATTCATATATTTGAATCTGATAAATGGGTTGGTTTTCAATGTTTTGTAGCCAAGGTTCACCTCGTACTGAGCCACAATGGAGACTTGTTAAACGGAAAAAAAAAGGTTAAGAAATCACCTTGGCTTCTCTATAACGGTGGATTTCTACACCACTGTTCAACGTCTCAATTATGAAATGTTCCACAGTTAGAAAGAAAGACATCCGGTGTTTCATGTCACCATCATCCTTGCAGAAACACTAAACAAACACAGAATAATAGCCAGACCGCTGGGGATTCAAAAGAGAGAGAGAGTAAGATGAAAAGAAGTGAGAGAAGAAGAAAGTGTGTGAAAGAACGAGAGGAGAGATGACAGCTACTGGCTGGCAAAGTAAATACATGTCCCACCTTGCAATATTTTCAAATGTTTCATCTCTTATGTGCATAATATACTGGTATTATGTACCTGAAGGGACATTTTAAATACATGTGAATCAATGCAGTTCATATTTGAGGTACAGGTAATGCTTAACAATAGGAGGATAATGTTTACACGAGGAGTCTTATTAAGTGGTGCGGTGAGGCAGAAAGGTTATGGGACTGTGATGTGGGGGAGCAACTCCTTGTCCTTAAGGTCTAAAGTCTGATCTGCATGAAAGGGCCCAGATGGACCAGCAACATCTAAGTACATTTTGGGGAAAAACATTCACTGAGAAGCACCAACCCCCACTAACAACATGCTCATTTATGCTTGTCTTGTACAGTAAAGATGAGCTGCAGAAGCTGGAAACATATGGGATCATATAGGATTTACTGTCACTCAGAGGCATACCATCTGCTGCATCAACCCAAGCAGACATCACACTATAGATGGGTTTCAGGAGATACTTATAAAATATGCAAAATGAATGTCAGACGAGCCAATAGGCTTGGACATTGTTATATATTTGTTATATATAAAAGGAACATGTTTGTGAGCTAAAAGCCGTGTGGATACTTTTATGTTTTTTTCTACTAAATGTTTTAACAATACAATCTATATTTATACAGCTCTTTTTACGCAACAATTGATCATAAATGTTTTACAGTCCGGACAAAACAAGACAAACGAGAAAGCACAGGAGAAAACTATAATATAACTTTTTAATAAAATGAACCAGACTACAAATACCTCATGTTAATATAAAGATTGTGCTTTATTTGTCAGTGTTGTTGTTTGTTTTGTTTATGCATTGCATTTAAAAAAGTGCTTCATTATTGCCCAAATAATACAAAATGTAAAAACACCTGGAAAAATGACAGACCATTAATGCAAATCTACCAAACTGTAGGTTATGATGAGTGATACTGCTGCCAAATATAATGGAAAAAAGGCATGTATCATGGCTGCTTAATCTCTGACATGTGAGGTAAAATGTGGATTAGATGTGACTGAGTCCATGAAAGCTTTAATAATAGCTTTCTGTATTGTGTTTTTACCAATATTGCAGAAAACCCTGAGGGGATTAGAACAAACTGTCCAGTACCAATTAATTAGGTTTAATTAGAGGAGCCAGTAAGAGTATCCCACCATCTGCACCCCTAAAGGAAATGCTCTTTCATCTAAACTTATAGTGAAGGTAAATATATAAATGGATGAGTGGATTGTTGTTATGTGATAGTGAGCAAGTGTACACTTTGATGTATCTTCCTTGTAAGAACGATAAAACATGTGCATATATTTTTGCTCTGTTTCACCATTTCCTGCGGAGGCCCCTGGTCTCTGGCTCAGAGCCATCTCCACTTGCCAGATCATGTGGTCTCCATGGCAGCCCATTGGGTTACACAGTAAACACCTCAGAGTAAATGAATGAACCTGCTTTAATCCAATAGGAATCCCTTTCTCAACTTTTCAACCAGTCACATCCTGTCACATCCTGTTTCATAACATGGAACACCTTGTTCACAGTTATGATTAATGTGAATGATTCCCTAAAGGTTTGTGTGTTTAGGTTTCAAAGATCTTTCAGCAACATTTATATAAAAAAGGCATTTTGGTGGCATGCCATGTCTAAAAATAATGGTTAAACACCCTTTAACATTTTTACAAAATCCAACCAAAAGAAACAATAGGACGTACCAATCATTATAACAATCAATAAATGTCCTTTTTTAAATGATATTTTGCAGGACAACAGTGACAGCTTTGATATTTCATGCGACCCTAGGCCAATTCATTATTTCCGGTGCTATGGTCATGGTGACGCAAATTACGTCAAGGGCCAACCTTTGTAAACACTTTTGTTGTTGTGCACCACACTCCTCTCCAGTTGGTGGCGTCACCAAATCGTTGGTTGCCCACCTCCCTCTCATCAGTGGCGGCGCCAGATATTTTCTTTTGGGGGTGCTGTGGGGTAACTTGACGTTTCATAAAGGGTGCTCAAACATTTAGGGTTTCCCATCAATGTACCGGGCGCTACAGTTGAATTTTCTACTGCAACACTCCCCACGCAAATACACAGTGTACCCGCGACTATTACAATGAAGGCTCGATAATCAGCTCACGGCATATAGGTGTAAGCAGGGGTAAAGTGCTATTTTTGTGGGGGGTGGACCTAACCTCCTCTAGGGTGGTCCGGGGGCATGCTCCCCCGGGAAGATTATTTTTAAAATATTGAAATTAAATGCATCAATCTGGTGCACTTTGAGAGCAAAATGAAGAGATCTATGGATACATCTCTCAACACCCATATGAAACAGAACTGTAAACAGATTTACTTTTTCTTTATGGATATTTTACAAATCACTCCCCTTTTAAACTCTATTCTTGTTTTACTGTAATATAGTATTTCATACCTGTTTTTCATTTATGCTCTTATTTTTTTATACCTATAATGATCATATAAACGTGTGCCTCGGAAATACTTATTTACATTAATCGTGACCAAACCGTTTGAGACCCAGGCACTGAGATAACTTAGACTAAAGTTAACTATCTAAACACTGAGAGAGTCCTTTACTTCACCT